GTCCAAGAGCGCAAAGTATCTTTCCATTTCTTTGTATCATCTTCAATTCCCTTCATCAATGTTTTACAGTTTTCAGAGTATAGGTAACCTCCTTGGTTAAGTCTATTTCTAGGTATTTTGTTGTTTTGGATGCAATGGAAATGTTTATGACAGTTACAAAGTTCTAGTTTTTGAAGTGAAAAAAAAATTGAATGAAGGGCCACAAATGGGAAAATACCCTTTTTTGTGGGTGAGTTGTATTCTGTTACGTATGTATGATACATCTTATTTATCCATTCATCTGTTTATGCGCACTTAGGATGCTTCCGTATCTTGGCAATTATAAATAATGTTGCTGTTAATAGCGAGGTGTATGTATTTTTTTGAATTAATGTTTTTGTTTTTCTTGGATATATGACTAGGAGTGGAATTGCTGGGCCATATATGATGGTTCTATTTTTAGGTTTTTGAGAAACCTCCATATTGCTTTCCATAGTGGCTACATGAAACTACATTCCCACCAACAATGTACGAGGGTTCCCTTTTCTCCACATCCTTGCCAACATTTGTTATTTGTGTTCTTTTTGATACTGGCCATTCGGCAGGTGTGAGATGACATCTCATTGTGACTTTGATTTGCATTTCCCTGATATTAGTGATGTTGAGCAACTTTTCATGTTCCTGTTGGCTATCTGCATTTCCTCTTTTGGAAAAATGTCTATTCAGTTCTTTTGCCCATATTTTAAGTGGGTGAGTTGGTTGGTTGTTTGCTTTTTAATTGAGGTACACCGTTGATTTAAAATGTTGTGTTAGCTTCTGGTGCACAGCATGGATGGACTTGGAGGGCATTATGCTGAGTGAAACGAGTCAGAAAGACAAGTACTGTAAGACATCACTTACATGTGGAATCTTAAAAAATACAACAAACTAGTGAGTATAACAGAAAAGAAACAGACTCACAGATGGAGAGAAGAAACTAGTGGTGACCAGTGGGGAGGGGGAGGGGCAAGATGTGGGTGGAGAACTAAGAGGTACAAACTATCAGGTGTAAAGTAAGCTACAGGGACGTACTGTCAACACGGGGAACACAGCCAATACTTTATAATAACTATAAATGGAGTATGACCTTTAAAAATTGTGAATTACTATACTGTATACCTGTGACATATAATTTGTACATCAACTATACCTCAATTTTAAAAAATATACTATACAATAAATACATAGATTAAAGAATAAATAAATTCCAGGTAGATAGACGATTTAAACCAAAGAAGAAGAGAGGGAAGAGGATGAGGAAGGAAAAAAAGAAGAGGAGGGAAGCAAGAAGTGGGAGGGAAAAGCCATAAAAGCACTAGGAGACGACACGGGTCAGAAAGATGTATGAGCTTGGAGAGGAGACAGCTTCACGGGCGAAATACAAAGTCCAGCAGACGTGAGAACTACTGTATTTAAAGCCAAAAAACAAACTACAAGCTGTAACATGTAACAGAGGAAATTTCCTTCAACTTCCAAGGGATTTCTAACAAGTAGCAAGAAAAAGACCACAGTGCAAAGTCAAACAAAAGAAATACAAAAGGTCAGTAAATATATGTCAATATTATTCATAATGAAGGAACACAAATCACAACAATGAAATACTGTTTTCTATTAATCATCTTGGCAAAAACTAATTAGGTAATATTTGATGTCACCAAGGATGTAGGGAGATGGAAGGCAACTGGATCACCTGTTAAGATATTAAAAATTAGTCACTAAACCAAAAGTTCCAGTGTTAGAAATGAAGTTGTTCTATGAATATAGTACACAAGGATGTTTACTGAAGCAGTATTTGAAATATCAATAAATTGGAAACCTAAAAGTCCAACTGTAAGTTCTGGTTAAATAAATGTTATAGTCCATCCACAGAATTAAATGCTATTGTAAGTTTTTTTTTTTAAATCTATCTATCTATATGTGTGTGTATATATATATATATATGTCAAAGTGAAAAAAAATCTCCAAGAGACATATTAAGTGAAAAAGACAACCAATAGTGTAAGAAAGGTAAAAGTCCATTTGCAGTTTAAAAAATGAAAAGGAGAAAAAAATACACATATGCACAAAAAAATTCTGAGAAGCTACTCAAAAAACTAGTGAGAGCTCTCTGAAGAGTCCAAATGGGAGGCATGGAGAGATGAAAAGGGATCTTTTGTTATTTTTACAATTTGAATTTTTCTTTTCAATCTTAATTTTTCCCCATGCACATGTATAACTTGGTAACTTTTCAAAAATGAATTCAACAAAAGATCATCTATAACTAAGGCACACTGAACAATAAAGACACAGACTTCAAGGCAGTTTTTTCCAAACATTTACTGAACACAAACACCATTTTTTCCTTTTACATAGCAATATTGTTAGTTTTAAATTAGCTGGGCTGTTACGACTGTCAATTACCACGAAATTAAAAATGATTCTACATGTCAAACTCAAATAGAAAATGTCATGCAATATATAAATCACTAACAGACCTCTGGTGCAGTCAGCAAGTTTACTATGTTTATTAAAGTCACGTAAATGATTTGACAAAAGTGCACAGCAGAATGACATCACTGGTTTGTTATAAATCACAGTGAACTACCAGAGTACAACAATGTAGTTCCTCTACACGGAGGACTGCAGGCTAGGGTGAATATTATAAAGGACAGGATCTTTCAACACATTAAGCCAGTAAGATTTTTCTCCCCAACTATGTACCTCTTAAAAGACTGGTTAGCAAAGCTGAGGTTTTCCCCTCATCTTTTCTCCTCTACCAATTACTAAGCAACAACAACAAAAAGCCATGCATGGATTTTACAACACCTGATAAAAAAGAAAAGCAGATACAAAACCTCGTTCACTTCATCACTTGGCCAAACTTGCATCTTCACTCTTTCGTTTTTCTGATTAGGCCACTCATCACCCGACTCACCCCCAAAGGAAACGCTGTTAATAAATTTAGTAATACTCACCCCTGCACACATATCAAGATACACTCCCCATATCCACCAAGTCTGTGTCTCTTCCCTACACATTAACAACAATGAACACACCACAAACCTAGGACTAGAGACCACATTTAATTTACAGTTTTGAAAATTATTATCTATCGCCACTATCCATGTAGTATTTATTTCTGATCCCATATTTTGGGGGAGAAGATACTGTACAAAGCAGCCCATCCGAAGATTCGGGCGAATCTGCCAGGAATGTCTGAGAAAGCCCAGCAGCGTGCTACACACGTTAGGAGCTCTCTGCTTCCCAGAGAGGGGATCCAGAGCGGGCTGCGCGTTTTCAGAGTAGGAGTGCACACACAGCTTCAAATCTACAGACTAATAACTTTCCACAGAGCAAAAGGCAGAGTTTTGTTTTCTTTAACCCATTTTAACATCATAGTATAATCAGTGAGGAAAACGGTGTAGTCATCTGTATATTGACACATCTGGCTAGCCTGAAAAGGAACATTGAAGATTTTTACAGAAAATCTACCATAAGAACAAGTCCTTTATACTTTTATCCATCTACTCACTAGTTTGATCACTGGCTGCTTCTAAAACCAGCAAACTGTAATCCAAGGACCAGCAACTCACTCCTCACCCAACCTCATCCCAAAAAGAACTGCTTCTGCTTGAATAATCCTAAAGTAGCTGCCTCAACTGAGGTGGGGACTGGTACCAGGGCATTGTTCCCTTGGGATTTTAATTTTCAAGAACACTTGCCAAATGCAGAGGCTTGAGGAATGGCTGCCCCCAAATCATATTTTACTTCAAACAGTGCTTTCATACCTAAGTTTCTCATAATTACCAGTTATTAATCAACTATTAGTGTAGTGAAATAAAACCCTTCCCATAAATAAGCAAGACTAAAGTTTGCTTTTTGGTTGGTTGGTTTGTAGTTCCCACAGCAAAGAACCTTAAGGTAGCTGGACTGTGGCCTGCCAGAGCAATCCAGGGTGGAAAATGACTATGTTGTGTCAGAATTCTGTCAGAAACTTCCCCCGTCTTTGTCAGTTGAGGAGATGGATTTGCTGCCCATTCCTTGAATTAGTTACCTAAACTCAAGAGTTCAGTTTTCTCAACCCAGGTTTCACATGCTTTGCGCCCAGGCATTCATCCACCTGGGCCTCTAATTCAACCAAATTCTTATGACAATTACTGAGGAAGACCAAGAAGTTTTGACTGAATGTGTAATTATCAAGGAAGACTTGCAATCCACAGCATAATTCTACCAACAGTAGACATAAAATGACAAAAGTGGCTAGAAAATGGCAGTTGCCTGGAGCTCTCAGCTGAGACACAGAGCCATCACCTCTCTTACCTAATTTCCTTAAAACAAAACAAAACAAAACGTAAGTTTGGGAAGGGTTTGACTAAAGGTATTTTAAAGTAATTCTACCAAAAACAAATAAAAAAACAGTCATGTAGATTGCTTGTTTCAAAAATGGTTTTATACAGGTGTTTCACAATACACATTTGAATTTATTTTACAAGATGGAATTAGATCCTTAGCAATATAGTGCACAACGTACTGCTATACTACAGTTGACGAAACAAACAAAACAAACCTCAGTTACCACTAGCAGGGTTTACAGTCTATTCCACGGTCTTC